CCCCCCCCCTCCCCCCCCGCGTCCCGATATTTCATCCCTGTGGTCTGGTCACCCTAGTTTGTATTACTTCTTGGAAGTCTCCAACTAACTGGCAAGTAAATGGGGATTATCCTGTGGTTGGAATTTTCCTCCCAAGCTGCCCTGGTGACCCTGCCAGGAAGGAGTGATGGGGGTGGAGGCACCTCCAAATAAATTCATAGGAAAAAATAAAGAAGATACACCCTGCTGAGTGGGTGGCGGGATCCAGAAGAACCCAGACCTGTCCATCAAAACCTGTAAGCAGATTGGCATTAAAGAAGGTAACCGGGAGGAGAGGGGGCGCTACACAAGTCCAATCAAACCAAACTATTGATCAAAGTCTAGTCTCTTTTCCCATACTACACATGGTATTTCTGTACCAATTCTTAGATTTGTAACTAGAATTTGTGCTGGAAATGAAGTATGTTGCCACTAACACAATAGCTATTCTTTATTCCCCCTAAAACAGCATCTTGCATTATAAGTAGTAGTTCTGAATATGACTCTGAGCCTAACAGATGTTAGTTTAATTAGCGGCACTGACAGCATTTAGACAGCACAGTAGAGGGTGAAGAGCACCAGTAACCTATAGAGATACAGATTTGATCTCCCAAGTGCTACAGAAATTTTAAAAAGTATGCCTCTATACTTACAGAAACTGTGTGAAAGAAAGTTAAGATTGCAAAGTCAAAGTCAAGCTCTAAAAAATTAGGAAATGCCAGAATTAAGGGTGCCCTAATTCTGTCTCCTTGTGCGTGTGATTGTGATAGTGTTTAATTATATGCTCACATACTGTTTTAAATAGGATCCCTGCCTCAGACACCTCTGACATTTGACCTATTCCCACTTTCCAAATTTCAGAGTGTTGCTGCCTATTGTTGAGATGCTATAGCTCTTGAAAGTCAAATATATATAATGGACTTAGTCAACACTAATGAGTTGCTAGTGCTCACTATACAATGACACATCCTACCCCTTTACTTTCCTGCAGCAAGAATCTGGAAATCTGTGTGTACTTTACCAGCTAGCAATACAGTTAAAGAATTATATGCCAGACCTGTACAACTTCATTCAGGATAGGCCCGAGCAAGGCCACTGGAATTACATAGCTTTTGCCGGCTTTAAATGAGAGAATTGAGAAGGAGCGACACTACGGATCCACTGCAGAGTTAATAAGTGTTCTGACACAATAAAATTTTCTAATGTAGACAAGCCCGGTTTGAGCATGTGAGGTTTGTTTCATCCCCAAAATATATGGATGTTTGTTCTGGTGAGTGGGTCCATCTCTCTGTATTTTGGAGATACAAAAAAGAATATTTGGTGGAGACCAATCATCTGAGTGATGATAGATTATAGTAACATGGTGTTAGTCTGTTAACACTTGAGATATGTGAAACTGGCACACAAAAAAACAAAAAAAGTCATTTCTGAACCCTTTGGTGAGTCTGGGCTTTGTTTTGAGAAAGCCCAGGCCCATTTGTATGCTGAATTGGAAGTTCGCAAAGATCAGCCATTTCATACATTTGACAGGAACACAGGCAGAATGAAGCATTTCAGCAGAGATCGTGTAGAGTATCTGCATTCACTTGGTCTCAAAACTTGCATGGTGCATTTAATCACAACTGTCTGAGAAGAATATTGGGAATAACATATAGAGATAGGAAGACGAATGAGGAAGTCAGAAAAATTACTGGACAAGGCACCCTCTGACAAATAATCTACAAAAGAAGACATCAGTGGTTGGGAGATGTGCTGAGAATGGGAAAAGAACGCTTACCAAATACTGCCCTTGAATGGAAGTCAGAAAATGCAAGAAGAAAAAGAGGAAGACTGCGAATAACATAGAAATGAACAGTTCTGAATGACATCAAGCACCTCAACATGAAATGGGAAGATTTGGAGACAAGGGCAGTTGACAGGCAAGGATGGCAAATGTGGGTAGCCCAATGTGCAGCAAAGCATGGGATGGACTAAGTATATATACTTCACATTTACACAGCTATAAACAAGACTGGAACCTGAATTCAATTTCCATGGAAGTCTCTGGCCAAGTTCATAAGAAGGGATGTAGATGACTTGACTTCAGTAATTTTGATACTGTCTTGCATGACCTTCTCATAAACAAACTAGGGAAATACAAACAAGATGGAGCTACAATAAGGTGAGTGCATAACTAGTTGGAAAACCGTTCCCAGAGAGTAGTGGTTCACAGTCAAGCTGGATGGACATATTGAGTGGGGTCCCACATGGACTGGTCCTCAGTCCGGGTCTGTTAAATATCTTCATCAATGATTTAGATAATGACATAAAGAGTACACTTATAAAGTTTGCAGATGATACCACGCTTGGAGGTGTTGCTTTGGAGGATAGGATTTAAATTCAAACTGATCTGGACTAACTGGAGAAGTCGTTTGAAGTAAATAGAATGACATACAATAAGGACAAATGCAAAGTACTCCACTTATGAATCTGGTGGGCCCGACAGGTCTGTGATGACACCATTAGAGAGGTTGGTGTAAGCGCTAATCGGGAAAACGGTCTGTTCTGAGGCGTCACCTGTCATCAGTGAGTGCAGCAAATGAAATAAAATTGTGGTGATGAAAGAAACATTCAGTGGTTAGCAAGGAAATAGTTACATTTTATTTAGCACTTTAACTGAAATCCACTTCATCTGCATAGCTCCATTGACTTCCATAGTGGTGCTATGCCAGCTTACACCAGCTGAGGATCTGGCCCTGCAATTAAAATTAATTTTTCCTACCTTGCTGAGCACGATGCACTACCACAGTGAGGCAGCATGTGTAGTAAGATCCGCAGATGTTTTCTTTCCTAACAAATATATACTGCATAGAAAATCCGGAAAATCAGACCCTGAAAGAGATAATTCATCGACAAAGTGTTGGTCATCATCAAGATTTAAGTATCAGAGGGGTAGCCGTGTTAGTCTGAATCTGTAAAAAGCAACAGAGGGTCCTGTGGCATCTTTAAGACTAACAGAAGTATTGGAGCATAAGCTTTCGTGGGTGAATGCCCACTTCATCAGACGCAAGATTTATCAAGATTTAAGATTTTTTGCCATCATTAGATTGCTCTAAGAAACTCAACTGTGTGAGCTAGTCCTAGTGAATGGTGCTGCAGGTCTCGTACATGTACTGGGATGATTACTGATTTGGTCAGAATCTCAAGATAACATTTTGAGACTTTCACAACAAATCCTTATCCTAATTTTAACCTGATATGGTCTCTAATCTGAACCCTGGATCCCAAGCCAAATCTTTCTCCAAATAAACCATTTCTAGATATGACTGCTAATGATTATCAGTTCATCTCTTGCTATGACCTGCTAACAACTGCACATAGATGTTACTGTATATAGTGACGTTCACTTGAGGATCTCTAAGTGCTTTATGCACACTAATGAAAGGAACTTCTCAACACCACTGTGGATGTGCATATCACACTTTAAATATGAGGCACATGGAGGTCGAGACTTGCTATTCATCAGGCATCCACACTCCAGGTCCTGAGTTCTAGCCAATAGTGCTAGTGCCTACATGCCCCAGGGTGCCTTTAAAAGATAAACAACAGGGCAAACTCATTACATGTTAGAGCATTTTTGAAACAGCCCATACAGTTAGTGGCTCATGTTCTCAAAGATTTTCTGAAAAAGCAATCTAAATGAATTTACTCTTGTTCTTTAATATATCTTCCTGCAAAATGATTTTCTAGGGTATAGGGTATCTCACCATGCCGGTGAGGCAAGTTACACAAGTCTTTTTATGGAACCTGAAAAGTTATAAAATATAGCTCTGCTCTGAAACTGAGATTAAACAACGCTCCAGCAGTAGACAGTGGAGCTGGAAATCAATTCCCTGCCTGAATAATTAGCATCAAGTCTACAGGCAGGGGCAGATTTCTAGTGAGAAAATGGGAATTAACTGTCTCTCTTTTACATTAATATGCAATGAACAGTGTCTGCTAGACAAATTGGCTGTACTACCACAGTTCATAGGTTGCAGATGTCTTCTTTTTTTTTTAACTTGACCAGGATCCTTGGAAAGGATTTGGAGTAGAAAATATTCCATTTTATTAACTTCTAAAAGTTTGGGCAGAATTTTGCAGAGTTCCACACTTCTCTGGGTGACATTAAGATAATCTTTTAAGAATTAGTCCCTTCCTCTCCAACCTGGCAGTTCTTTAATCAGTGACCCTGTCTAGTGATCTCTTCAATAAGATTAATGACAGTAAATTGCTTGTCAACAACATAGTTGACGCAGAGGATTGTGAGCATACAATGGGGGGGGGGGGGTCCTCTATGTCCAATGGACTTACAAAGGGACTTCCGAAAATTCCCCAAAACTTTCCTCTTAAGCCCCTCATATGAAGGCCCATGGACTTATAGCTGAACAATGTTAGTCTCTGGCATGGACTCTGACAGCTTCTGTATAGAACTTTGGCCCAGTGGTAAAGCCCTCCCACCCACGAGTGAAGTCCCTTTGAAGTTCACATTCCAGGCAACATTTCCACCCAAAAAGCCCTCCTCTTTTTTTTTTTTTGGAAAGCAGATCTTAAGAGGATATGGCCTTTCATTTGCATTTGACAGACTCTGCTACCGTGTTCAAGTTTAGATGGCTGGATCTGAAGTAGATGCTGTTTTCCTACTGTGTCACTTGATTGGGACACTAATTTGTTGGCTTTAGGATTTAAACACTCCCCCCCTCCCCCGCCCCTGCATGTTTAGCTGGTTTCTATGCATACCCACATCTTCAGTTCTAATGTATTCCTCGGAAATATAGTAAACTGATTCAAAAGCAACACAGGACTTCAGATGAACTGTTTTCTTTTTAAAGTAGTTTCTTCAGCCTGGATATGGTTAAAGTCCATAACTGCATACAACCCACGATGTCTATATTACATTGTATGATCTGCTGGGTTGATCATGAGCTTGGGTTAGAGATTTGGCTCTTATGCTTATGCATTGTGTGGCCTTGAGCAAATCACTCTACCCCTCTGGGTCTGAGTTTCTCCATTTGTAAATTGGGGTTAATACCTTGCAGGGGGGGTTGGCAGGATTAAGGGTCTGGGAAGTACTATGAGCATGGAAAGTGCAATATAGGCACTGTCTTTATTAAGTGGTGCCTGAGGCAGCCTTACACTTTGTCTCCACGACCTTCTTTCTGCGCAGCAAAGTTTAATTTTCCTTGTTTACTATGGTTAATGCTCTCTGGAAACTCATTCCCCTTTCTGCACCACCTGATGCTTATATGCTTAAAACAGCACCCAAAGAGCATTGAAATATCAGTTGTTCCCTGGAGCTTGGGAGTCTTTGCTTTGAGCCAGTTAATCACTCAAGAGCCTCTGCATATGATTAAACTTCAGGATGGAGCAAAGGGAAAATCTGCTCTTCAGGACAATATACAGTCAGAGGTAAATCCTGCCTCTCTCTTGCAGAGGCATGTCTGTGGCAGACAGGATGTGTGTATGCGGCTGTGTCACAGGATTATGCACCCTCTGGGTGTGGCAGAACTCAGCTCTCCAAGGGATCCCTGCTGTGCCAGACACTAGGCTGCAGTGCTACTTCCCTGACACACTGCAGTTTAGGGATAGGGAGGGAATCCTACATTCTCCTCCCTAGGGAGCAACCCAGTACCCAATTCAGATGCTGCAGCTGGGCCTTGGGAAGAGCATTTTGCCTAAGTCAGTTGGTTCTGTAGAGCTCTAGCTAGGAATGTTCTTTGCACTTGTACCACATTAAGTTCAGATCACAGCCTTATGTCTGTCTGATGGAAAGCAGTACATGGGAGCAACTTTTACATCTTGGACTTCAGATCAGATTCTGCTTCTCACTATATTCCATAGAATTTTATTATGCAGGATTTATTTCTTTGAGCCCTGCAATAAGCATGTGTGACCTATTTTACCTCTAGGCAAGCTGCTTGAATTATCAGACAGATCACCTCTTGACTGCCACGTGCTACCGACATTTGAATCTACTGACTATTTGAAGATTGTTAAACAGAGTGTTGACTCCTGTTTATGCACAGAAATAAATCAAAAGATAATCGGACATATTTTAGCTTTGTTGAAATGAAATGGAAATATGATGCAGATGAGATGGGGTAGTACTTTTCTGCCTAAATATATTGTGCCAAGTGTACTGTCCTGTCAGTAGAGTGCGAAGACATGGACCTAAAAACTGATTAAAAAACAAGTGTAGCTACAGGATTGAACATAGAATCAACCAACTCTGAAGGATGAGAATTCTAAACTCTGATCTGCCTGTAATGTAGTCAGAATTACTTTAAACTTCTACCAAAGTTAGAGACTCTGAAATTTGCTTTACCAGCAGTGACTCTTGGCAGAGAGAGTGCAGTGAACAGATCCAGTTCTTTTGGGTAGATATATAAGGCTAGTTAGAAGGCCTCCTCCTGTAGCTCATTCACTGGAGCAGTCCTCCTGAACTCATCAAGACTACTCAGATGTACCAGGGCTGCAGGTTCAACCCCAGAGTGTGCACTGCCAAGTGAACCTCTTGTTCGGTATTTTGGTTTGACTGATAAATTTCCAAACTTCAGAACATCTTGATTTTTGATGTTCGAGTAGCAGCTGGACACTAAGTCTCCAGTTCAGCAAAGCACTTAAGCTCGTGCTTAAATTCCATTGGACTCAATGGGACTTAAGCATGTGCCAGAGTCACATGAGGGCCAAAGTCATCAAACCAACATGTCTAATGTTAGGATCTTTAGTTTTTTTTTTAAAGCTGCAAACTTGAATGGGATCTGTGGTTCTTCAGCACTTCTAAAAACAGACCAACTTTATTTAGGTGCTTTAAACTATGGATTTAGAAGTCCGACCTAAAGTACTTAACATTGGAAGTTTTGGCCTAGATCTCTCTCAAATTTTGGTGAACAAAAATGCTGCTTACACTTATAGAGACAGTGTATATTCTTGGCTATGTATTGTAGATTTATACCACTTTACTAGCCACAGATTGTAGAGCATTTTATTTTTCGTTCCTACTTGTAAAATGTTTTGAAAATGAAAAGCTGATAAAGAACAAGTTTGGGGGGTTTTTTGTTTGTTTGTTTGTTTTTACAGGGCCCAGTTCAGAAGCCCCTAAGGAGAAACTCTCATTGACCTCAGTGGGAGTTTTGCATAAGTAAGAAATTTACAAGTTGGTCGTACATATATGTTGAGACTCCATAATGGCACTCTAAATAACTGGCCTTAATTAGATTAGTCTAGACATGAGTCTAGTGCCAAGTCCTGGGCTCTAATATACCTAGACTTTAATGTGGTGTAAGCCATGGAGCCATAGAATCATGTTAGAAAGAGGAATCTAAGCAAGGAGGCAGTAGGACAAGCCTCCTCTAGGTCATGATATAGATTGAGTTCTCACCAGTTCAGTCTCAATCTTCATAGAAAATGCAAGGAAGCGCACACAGCTGTTTTTCAGACTGAAAAACGTATTAGACTTGTACTTGAAATGAGGCCTTTGTCATCCACCGGAAATGAGCTTCCCTGCACTTTCAGTCAATTTCCACCTGTGTCATGATCAGAGTGCAGCAGGCGAATAAGAAAGGCACAAGAGGGAATAAAAAATAAAGAACATTGGATAGAAGTAAATTCTGCCACTGAAACCTGTTCAGATGTTTAATGGAAGTGGTCTTTTGCATGATTATAATCAAAGCATAGAGTTAGACTGAGTATATAGAACAGAATTTGAAAATACTGGATTTTTCAAGATGAAAATTATATTACTTGTTAATTATTTTACTTTCCCTGGGACCAAATTCTGCATTATGAAGCAGGAGGAAGTGCATATTGCTCCAGCAAAAACTGTCCAGATATAGAGCGAAACAACTTCCCATGTACCTAACCTTCGCAAGCTGCTGGGGTTGCCTCTCTACAAAGTGTTGGGGGGAGGAGTTGGTACTATAGAGCAGTAACTTACAGCCTTGTCTATATTAGGAAAATTAGGACCTGTAACCTATCAGTGCAGACAGTGCTTATGTATTTTTGTCACCATATAGTCTGGTCAGGGTTACAATAAGCTGAGCGCTATCTACCCTATAGCTTCCACTGTTACTACCACAGTTAAAGCTGTACTGCTAACAAGCTATGGGTTCCGCTGAGATGAGATGTTCTGATTGAATATGTTACACTGCCAAAAGCCCTGTTGAAGCTTTCTTCTTCCTTGGCTTTGGAAAAGTGTCTAAAGACCCATAATCATTTAATGGAGTTTCAGCCCTATTGTTTTCTCTTCATTAGTGAGTCACATAATTAATTCTTGAGGAGATCGCATGAGTCCTAATGGGAGTTCATTATTCATATTTTGTAGCTTTTCACATACTAATTTCAGTAGGTTAACTTTGATATGGCAAATAGTGACTCTAGCTCTTGAACCTCTTGTAAGCTGAGTATCCGTCGTTGAAAAATGTGCTCGTCATCACACCATAAAACTGAGATATCATTTCTGGGACATAGTATGTTAGCAGCTATGAAAGATACAATGTATTAGCTTCAGCTTCTCTGGTTCAGGAAGATGATAAACACTCTGTCCTGCACCAACACAGCCCACTGTGCTCAAGGACAAGTTACTCCTGGGGCAGCCAAGGGAATATACTTGATTATCACAGAACTGTAGGACTGGAAGAGACCTCAAGAGGTCTTCTAGTTCAGTCCCCTGCACTCAAGGCAGGACTAAATATTTATCTAGACTATCCCTGACAGGTGTTTGTTTAACTTGCTCTTAAAAATCTCCAATGATGGAGATTCCACAACCTCCCTAGGCAATTTATTCCGGTGCTTAACCACCCTGAAAGTTAGGAAGTTTTTCCTAATGTCCAACCAAACCTGCCCTTGCTGCAAATTAAGCCCATTGCTTCTTGTCCTATCCTCAGAGGTTAAGGAGAACATTTTTTCTCCCTCCACCTTGTACTTGAAAACTGTTATGTCCCCCTCAGTCTTCTCTTCTCCAGACTAAACAAACCCAATTTTTTCAATCTTCCCTCATCGGTCATGTTTTCTAGCCCTTTAATCATTTTTGGTGCTCTTCTCTGGACTCTTCCTAATTCGTCCACATCTTTCCTGAAATGTGGCACCCAGAACTGGACACAATACTCCAGTTGTGTCTTGCTTACAACACTCCAGCTAATACATCCCAGAATGATGTTTGGTTTTTTTGCAACAGTGTTACATTGTTGACTCATATTTAGCTTGTGATCCACTATGACCTCCCGATCCCTTTCCGCAGTACTCCTTCCTAGGCAGTCATTTCCCATTTTGTATATGTGCAACTGATTGTTCCTTGATTGTACCTGCCCACCTAGCTGCTGTGAAGGGACCCAGCTGTTGGATACCTGGGTGTTATCCTCCTCCAGAGCCTGAACATATCCCAGCCACTTCTACAGGCTTGGGATACCTAGCCGCTGTCTCAAGATACAGATCTTCAATCTAGCACCCTCAGGTGAGAGCTGGAACCCACTATCCAACTGCCTAACACTCGTAACAGTGCTCACCTCTTCAGACTCCCCATAGCTTAAACACACTCTCTCACAGAACTCCACCACAAGGTAGGAGCCTTCTGGGTTAGTGTTTAACTCTCTCAGGAGGCATGTGGTAAGTATAAAGCATCTAACACACATGGACACTTTGCACACATTCTAATAGTATTGCTCTTTTACTTAGCATTGGGTGGTCCAAACTTTTTAGTGATATTGGCTCCATGCATAGTTGGGCTATACCTTCACGGGCCACATACAGAAACTAAATGGCGTCCTCCAGGTTTGGTTGCTGCCTGAGGGTGAATTCTTTTAGAAACTCTGAACAAAAGCAATGAAGCCATTTTTCAGTAGGTGGTGAGTGAAAATGGCAGTTATTATTAACAACTGTGCACCCTTATTTTGAATAGCTCTAGCACTGAAACATCAGGGTAGAAATTCAGCATTTGGCAAGGTGTCATTCTTCACTGGAGGAGTAAGTAGTGCCTGAACATTCTGGTAATGACTGGTTTTGTTTTGAACAACTTAAAACCTATTGAAAGTCACAAATATATTTTGCATGGAATTTCCCTCACTAACCTCATAAAATATGGAGCTAAGGCCCTGCTACGCTAAAAATTGGAAAAGAGGAAGATGAAATCCTTAGGAAACATTCTCCAAAAAGAGTATGATTAAGTGATTAAGATCTCACCCCAACAAACTGTACAAACAGCGTTCATTCCAGAAAAGCTTCAGTAAAGTAGCATTGACCAGAATCAGGCAGTCAAAAACCACGGCAAGTGAAAGTGGCTGTTCCTCATTTTGTCCCTAGCAATGAATCAGTTGTCACCTGACACAGGTTTATATAAATAAAAGCTTTCAGCCATTTCTACTGTCCACTATTGTTAAAATGATTTAAATAAAGTTTGGGATTTACAATGGATGAAAGTGATGTATAGGAGAGTTCACTGGGCTGTAACTGGAAAGCAACTTTGAACAAATGACGTAAACATTCACGTCAGGTCCTCAGCATAGCCACATAATGGATAGTAAATGCCCTTATTGAGTATATTGTCACAATCTGCTGACAATAACATTTCATGTTTGTTACTATGCTGCCCACAAAGGTCATTTATAACTTAAGAGCAACAGCTGGGATAGAAACCAGATCTTGCACCAAAAGCATATATTCCTACCACTTGAGTTACAGGAGAATCACCACTAGCTGTTAGTAATACATGGTCTGACACCTGAGTGCTGATTCCATGCAGTGGCGGGCTGTAAAACCAGTGCTCAAGTCCCACTGGAACACTCTGAGATGCCATTCCAGCTAACCTTTTTTTTTTTTTTTAAGCCAGAATGGCATCTTGCAGCACTTTGAGTACTTGCATTCCAGCACTGCTTGAAAGCTGCACTCAACCCCTTAGCAAAACACTAACTAGCCATTTCAACATAACAATATTTTTGCATTTGTAGTACATAACACCTTCCATCTAACAGTATCAAAGTGAACTTACATTAAACATGTCAACTGTTCACAATATATTGGGATGAATATGTCCTCATTTACTTTTGTGCATCTTTGAAGGAAGGTGGAATATGGATGTTTATTCCAAGAATTACTCCAGTATTCTATTTACAATGTTTCTGTCTTCTTTTGATATAAGAAAAGTTGGCATTAATGCAATAATAGAAGTTATGAAAGAATGCTACCAGATCTTTTTGTAACTGCACAAAAAGTTTGTTTTATTCGACATCTTCCGCAGGGCATCAGGTTAGCCAGAACCATGCGTCACCTAGGATAAGAGGCACTGCAATCAAAGCTCTCTCTCATGAGGTAAAAATTTCAATCATGTTAAACTGTTCCAAATTACATGTTATGATTTTATATTTGAATTGTTTACCACTGAAAGCTGTACTAAGGCTGGCCATTAGGATTTCAGATTGGTTTAAGATTAATAGTCAGAAAGTAAAGACATCAGCTATTATTAACCTAAGTGATAGGATTGAGGCTTTCGTTTCATTTTGCATCTGAAAAAGAAAGTTTGAACTAGAACATTAATGGAATTCTTGGTATTAATGGAGTTAGAACATGACAGGCTCTGAGACAGACTGTAACACTTGAGGTGTTTAATCCTGCTGTGAGATATGGTTTTACTTCAGAGCAGTATCAACGTGCTGTCATGTGTTCTCCGAAAAGGAGATTTTTCAGTGTTGGGGTGGGGAGTTTTTTGTCTGAGTTTACTCAGCTTCAAAAAAGGCAGTTTTTAAAAACCTGTGTTGAGCTAGATTTTCCAGAGATTGGAACACAGATATTAAGAGTGATCTGCTGAACCATTTAGAACCTGCTAAAATGTACTAAATTCCACCTGATATTTCAAAGGTTTCCTTTTCCCAGAACACAAGGCTCCATTGTCTCTTTCTCCTCCTCAATTTTTTTTCCCCATGTTTTTTTCCTATATTTGGCTGACGCCTGAAGAAACAGAGGATATTGGGAAACTTGCTATAAACTCTGTTCCAGAAGATCAACAATGAATCCCTGATAAACTTAATCCTTCCATCCTATTCCAATGCAAAGGGATTAGATATCCTTTTCAAGTCATTTCTATAGTGGTCAGTATAAAAATGTTTCCCCAGGTCAAGGTTTTATGCTTTGTGATCCAACCCAATAATTGTTTTGCATGAACAGGATATATTAGCTCACAAACCCAAGAGAGAGATATTCATAAACACCCCAGATAGGCAAGTATGACAAGTTATGTATGCAGTCAAACTTAAAAGCCCGATAAACATTGCTCAGCCTCTTTGAATTGAGTTTTCAAAGTCAGCCTAATCCATGAGTCACATCTGTGTTCTCACAACAATTGGGGTTTTTTTCTGTGTCAAACCTGCTATCACTCATACTTTTTCCTACAGATTACAAGAGCACCATTACAGGTTCACCATCGTCTGCATCAACAACCTCCACTACAACAGCATCAGCATCCATGACTTTCCAAGAATTTTGTGGACAACCAGGCAGTTACAGTTATAAAGTAGCTTTGATGTCTGTGCCCGATTTCTCAGGTTTATTAGGGAAGCAGCCACCAAGTCTATCTTGATTACATTAAGGTATATCTTTCTCCTCAGAAGGTTCTTGGTTCTTATCCAGTTCAGCACTCGAGTCACTAACCCTGCGTAGCAGCTAAAGTTGATATGGGGAAGCACTAAAATGTTTTCAAATGGTCTGTTTATCATGGGTATTTTATACAGAAATGTAAAACTGATCACAGGATAACTCATTCCATGTAGTTGTATTAAAGGTATATAAGTGGGATATTATCAGTTATTCTGAATAATGGCTCTGTTAAACAGGCTTAAGAAAAGAACACTTATACAGTATATGGAAAGCTATTTGCACTGGGTACAGCATTATTACAAACATTTCACTTGTTTTAAGAGTAGTAAGCACTTACACTGCATATCACGGGCCAGATTTTTCTGCTGCCATAACTCCACAGAAATCAACAGCTGCAAAGTTTTTGGCTATAGTTTGGCTAAATATGTTATGGAGATTAACCCTCAACATCCCTTTGGGAGTTATGTTGAGCATTATCTCTATTGTACAGCTGAAGTAACCACACAAATAGGTTTGATATTACTTGGTCAAAGGTGGCAGATGACTCAGACAGGAAATCAGAAACTACTCACTCCCAACCTGGCCTCTTAGCACTAAATTTTTGGATGCTTAACAATTTGATCAGTATGTGTTTGCTCATCTTGAATTGACTTACTTATATTTTAATCCATGAAAGAAGTGTCTAAATAAAATGTATTGAATGAGGGGGGAACAAGCATTTTAATGAATGTTAAGTTGATTCGACCATCCCATTTATCAGGTTGCTGGGCAATGAGGCTGGGTTGTTCTTAACAGATTACATGCTTCGTGCTTTTCATTTTGCAAGGTTCCCCAGTGCATCACACCATTAACTGTATACATTATAGAAATCAACTACACTGCAAATTGCCATTTTTTACAGTTCAAGGTATATATCCCTTAATGCAAATGACTACTGCAGATCTGTTCAGTAGTTGTCAACCCCCAAAAATAAAAAGCTTTAGCTCTGTTAGAACTAAGCATGTGTTACACATTGGTAGAGTTTTGTATCATTCATATGGAAGATCATCCTTCTGCAACATACCCATTTAATTTCTGCAAAACAAGGATATTATTCTTGGAAGTTTAGCCATTTCTCTGTTTCCATGCTTGATACATTAAGGAACTCCTGTGAAGATTGGCAAACAATCCCCTAGTTCACGGGCTTTCTGGCTGTATGATCTGTCCTGTGCTGAGGAGGCAGCTATTGCTGTCTCCTACAACTCTGCAATATTTCCTTCAGTATTTGTGGAAGTGTGGGGGGAGAATGTCACACATGCCTGGAGGGGAAAAAAGCTTTCAGAGAGCCAACAACTTGGTGTCTGGAGCCCCAGCATATTTAGCCGTTTTTATTTCCTGCATTTTATAGTGTAACATGGCTTGTGCTGTTGTACAGAGAAGTGAAAAAAGAACGAGATGACAAATGAATGCTCTATAGTTGTTGCTGTGTCGGTCCCAGGATATTAAAGGGACAAGGTGGGTGAGGCAATATCTTTTATCTTTTCAAGAAGAGCTCTGTCTGGCTCGAAAGCTTGTCTCTCTCACTAACAGAAGTTGGTCCAATAAAAGACATTACTTCACCCACCTTGTCTCTCAAATGAATGCTCAAAGCAAGAGAGAGAAGAGCAATGGATCAAACTGGTAACTAGGCAGGTAATATTAAGTTGCATAGAGGGTGAAGTGCAAACAGGAGGAGAACATGTGCTTTAACGTTAATACAGGGTTTGGGCAAGTTATGATGGATTGTACTAAACTAATTATTCAACTACAAGTAGTACACAGAAAAGCATTTTGTTGGAAAGTCAGATTTTTACCTTAGCTCTCTTAAGCTTTTTAAATGTATGCTAAGTGGCTCTATGCAATACAGAACAGGGACACTAGAAAAGGATGGAAGGAAACCAGTTACAATTCAAAAGAAAAATGCTGTAGTCAGGCCAAGACATTAAGAGAAAACTATTTTAGGCAATAAAATGGAAAGCAGTTGTTTCCCCCAATTTGAAATCATATTTTCCCAACACAGCTAACTCCGAGCGTAGGTATTTCCTTCAAAGGCAAACACTGAACAGGGCTCAGCATGTTTATTTGCAAAACAGTCAAAAGCAGTGAATAACTAAGTGTCTTTGCCATCAGTACAAGATGGCTGAACTGTCACTGGTTAAACACAGCTGCTGCTTTACTATGGCTATCGTGAGAATTTAGAATATTTAGGTATTATTTTTGAGGAAAAGAGGAGGAAACATCCATTGCACAATCTGATATTTACAATATTGGATTTGTTATCCCATCAGGGTGTATACACATGGACCCATTCAATTATAGGGGATACAGAGGCTCAACAGGAGAGTATTTATTAGTTAAAATATATTCAAGGTAGCTGCGAAAAACATTCGAGAGAGAATCTGCCAAGATGATCTGATCTGCTGCTGCATTCCAATGAGGGATTAGCCACACTAGCAATGTGATGCTGAAAAGCTGGTAATTCTAGGTTGGGAGAGTAAATGTTGTTCTGCTCAAAATGGAACAAGCCCTTCCATCATTCTCTGAGAGAGAACACTGTATCTGTTTCCCAACACATTAAAGTTAAATGCTTTCCAAGGACCAAAATTAGACGTCATTGGTTTTATTAAGATAAAGCCAAATGAAGTTATGTTGGTTTATGCCAAGTCTGGATCTTGCTGACAGTTTAAATTTACCTGCTTTAAGATGATTCACATAGTAGAATCTGCCCTCTCCCAGAGGATGATGCAATGCTATTCACATCTTGAAGCGACACAAAACCCAACATTCATTATCCCACCTACAATTACCTGTCAATATTGCTTTGCGTGTGTTAACAATCCCTTATTTGAATGCAAGAGAAGATCAGATCTTGTTTCTGTTAGAAAATTAGCACTCTTTCACAACTATGTTGAATGTGCAACTTCACTGGAACTACACTGAGGGTCTGGCCCCAAAAGTGCAAGGCTAGTTTTGCTTATAGACAAAAATTGGCATCCAAACACTTAGCAAAGTGTTTCAGATGCAGCAATGCATAATTAACAAGTAAGCATGGGAATCTACAGCTCTGACAAAACTGCCCACTAAGATGAGTAAAAATTGCAATATTTGTGCTTTATGAATGAAAACCTATGACAGCTCTAGTCAAAATCCTTGCTAATATCAGTCAGGTCATGATAGCAGTGCACACCAAAAAGATTTGATACCTACCCAACAAATATTGTGTGAAATCTAAAACTAATTAAATATGGCTTTGCACACTGATTTGGGATGGTTAGATCTGAGATCATGGCTCACGTAGTTTTCCCAGACTTCAGAGTAGCAGCCGTGTTAGTCTGTATCCGCAAAAAGAACAGGAGTACTTGTGGTACCTTAGAGAC